TAGTAGACGATATTTTTTCCATGATCTTGCCAAGATCTTAAGTACAGATTTATCTGATACAACCAAGATATGAACATACAAATTATCTTTTTAAGATCTTAATAAGATCTTACTTACCGATTCCAAGATTCCCAGATCTTGCTTACAAGATGTTCGACTAGGGCATCAACATCGTTATCAGTAACTCAAAAAAATGTCATGTCGTTTATTGATAAGTTGAAAACGATTTTGTATCTTTGGTTATGTATGTCGATTATTTTGTGCTTTTAACAAGTTTTTTCTTACGCTAGTATTTTTTGCATAAATGTATAACTTTTTGTGTATGTCTCTATAATCTTGAGAAAAATATTTCTTGTTAGCTGTCTAAATAGTGGTCTACTTTAAAAATTCTTGTTCGTAATCGATTTTGGTCTGTAATAATTGAATTTATTCTTTAGACATCAGGTCCTGTTAAAAGCACGGAAATATACAGTAGCTAAGTAATGATAATTAGCGTAACGTTTTAACTAATAGTTTGATAGAATGATAATGAAAGCATAGAATTTTAGAATATAGAAACTATGTCGACGAACAATGCCACACCCATCACAGATGACTCAAAAGCAAATTCGGTGCAATTTGCCGTACTTCTTGCATTTGAAATTTCATCAATTATCACGTCGAGTATAATTGTTATCTATATTGTTGTAACACCTGCCTTTCGATCAAAAGAGCAAAATCATTCAACATGTGTTTTACTATCATTTAACTTTCTTCAACTTATTAGTGACATTCCGTTGGCAATACATTTCTTTCACCTCAATATTGTTCAACCAGCTACATCTGTTCACTGTATTCTATGGACATGGCTTGATTTCACACTTAATACTTCTAGTGTTCAACTAATGGCATGGATTTCAATTGAGCGACATTTATTCATCTTTTCTTGGAACCTTACGCGCAGAATGTCAAGATTACAACGATGGTTCATTCATTTCGCTCCATTAATTATATGTTCAGTATGGTGTCCGATATTCTATTTCTTCACTATCATTGTCAGTCCAATGTGTGTTAATACATGGGTTTTTTATAGGCCACTTTGCGGTTTACCTTGTTACGTGGCAACAAATTGGAATTATTATGATCTTATTTTTAATATTATTATGCCTGTTTTGTTTATTCTCATTGCTAATGTCGCACTTGTTATACGTGTCGTTAAACAAAAATTGTCCAGAGTACGTCCTACTCGCGTAGATTGGCGTAGGCAACGCAAAATGGCTCTCCAATTAGGTATTCTCTCTATGCTGTTCTTGTTGGTCTGGATTCCTCTTTGTATTATACAGCTCAAAATGATTTATTTTAAGTCAGATTTACTTCTTCAGGTCAATGACTTTATAGTTTATCTTTTGTATTTTATTCCATTATTACTACCATTTATTCTTTTGCTTTCAAGACCTGAATTCATGAAAAATTTTAAAGATTTCTTATTTGAAAAAAGACAGGCAACTGTTATGCCAACAAAAATAAACTAGGACTTATTTATGAAAATATGGGTCTGATAATGGATTCCACTACATTCCTATTCATTTTATATTATTGCATGTTTATATTGCAATAAACGATCTAATCATTCATTTACAAATTAATGCATATTTTCGGGATCCGGACAGTTGGTCGTAGGACAGTTGGCCGCATGGACAGTTGGTCGCATGGACAATTGGTCGCATGGACAGTTGGTCGTATAGTGTAAATAAGAGGAATATTAGTATAATAACCACACAACACTAATACAATGAATTGATCTGGTGTGGAAGAATGATCATCATGATTGACTAGTTGATGTAATTAATTCAATATTGCTCAAATTGAGGATATTAATCTAATGATCATTTTCATTTAACGATAATCATGTATACATATGCGTGTATATAAGTTGTTGAAAATTGAAAAAAGTCATTTTACGAAAGTAATAATGTCTGTTACTCTAACAAAAACTTCTAAAAATACACCATTATTAATACACAACAGTTACTCGTATACAATTGAACGAAAAACTGTAACAAAAATTCTTTGGTCTCTATGATTTTTTTTGGTTGCTGTCTTATTCACTATTGAAAACTTTGTTTTACTTGTTACATTTTGTTGTCTTATTGTTTGGATTTCTCTGTAATGTTCTCTATTTAATTATTTATAAAATAATAAATAATGCTCAATTGCTTTTTGCACTTTATATTCCTCTTATTTATGCTGTACGACAAACTGTCCGCGCGCAACTGTCCTGTGACCAGCTGTCCTAAACCCCATATTTTCATCGCTTCTTAAATCCTGCATTGACATCGACTTATCATCGTCGTTTCATTTCTTGTAAGAAAGTTAAATTCTTTAAAAAAGAAACATTTTTGACCTCTGCTTAATATCAGGATTATTGTATAGCAACTTTTAGGAACCAATCATCATCGGAAAACAGTTGTTCTAGGAGAATATTTTTTTGAACTGAATGAAGTATATCGAAAAGTACCACCACCAATGAGAACACATTAAAGTTCTGAACGGACAGAAATCGTCTAAAATATAAATGCCTTACCATTTTATTATGGCAAGAAGTGACAAAAGTAAAACTCGAAGATGATAGATCTAGGAGAGAATTCGTCATATATACAGGCATAGCAACAATTACGAAGTCAGAAATCATCTCATTAAATCCTTGAGGGTGTGGGTGTTGCTATTATTAGTTGATAAATATATCCACGTCCATATTGATATCCACACCCACGTCCACCCCCACCCCACACCCCCACCCCACACCCTTTCTTCATAACATATTAAAGTCTAAAAAACTAAGAAATATTTTGGAATATCGGTGAGTTTTAGAACACTGAATATGCTATGAAGAAAACGTTCTTTAGAGCTGAAATTTTCAGGATGCTCTACCCATTAGTAGACCACTTTATGGGCAAAGTTTCAGCTTAAAATACAATACTTCGAATTTTTACTATATACCATACTCCACTGGAAAATTTCAGTAAAATGTCTATAACTCCAAGAAGAAGCCCTATGGGAACGTGTCCTTTTGGGGTTTTTCATACCTCACTGGTGTCTATCTTACGCATATAGACTGAGCTCAAAAGCGATTAATCAGTTGCATCGGTTCCCTCGTGAGAATGCTTTCAGCTACTCAAATCTGTTTCTCTTGAGCCGCTATGGCTGAATGGTTAAGATGTTCGGCACATATCTACAAGATAGTGTGTTCAAACCTCGGCGCCATCATCCATAGAATAACCGTGGA